CCATTCACTCCTCCCGATGCTGGGGAGATGGTTCTCCTGCTCCTCGAGTCCCTGTGAACTTAAGATCAAGTTTCAAGGCATCAGAGATGTTATGTGACCTAGTTAAAAGCATTCCCACATGCAGCGTGACTTTTCAGAGGTTTTTCATGATACAGCCTGCTGCAGCCCCCAGTCAGGGTATCAGGTGGCTGTAACTGCTCAACTCCTGCTGCACGCAACAACTTATGGCCCCTAATGCACCACCAGCAACACTGCAGCTGCTTTACCCACACATTTGGCTACTTGCTTGTGCCAAGCCTGGGTCACTGAAGACTACAAACCCCGTACTTTAGTGGCACAGCACTCACCCAGCCCTCCTGCAGCTGCAGACTCAGGATAAACATGAATCTGCCTCAGGGGTGCCAAGTGATAAAGTGATCTTGGAGTAGCAGCGCTGCTGCTTCACAGTCCCCATAACTCCAGCAGCACCACAGCAACTTTGTCTTCTCCCCCAGGCTGCACAGGCAAGGGAATGTGTATAAGAGACAGGGGGAGAAGAGTCCAACTATCTGCCTCAAGGGGTACAGCTATAAAAACCAAATTAGACAAATGTTCTCCTGGGGTTTTTTCACTATAGCTGCTTGTCAGGTGTAGCATATAGTCTTGCACTGCATGACCTTCAATTAAACATGCAGTCCTCTACCCCTCAGAGCCCAACTCTGACACATGCTCCCGTTGCCTTCCTGAAACCTGACGTTTGCCTGCAAGGCATTCAGCGCCGAGTTCACAACCAAACGGCTGCGTTTCCAAGCCTTCCACAGAGAACTTTTTATAACCTTGACTGCCTGTTTCCTTAAAAATGGAAGTGGTTTGCTCATCAAGTAAATTCATCAAGTTTACACAGCGTTCCTTTTGAACTGAGTTTGCACTTCCTTGAAAAAAAAAAAAACCTTTAACTGTGAGAAAAGGATCTGTAATCTCAGCACTTCTATAACTCCTGATTAATCTCAAAAACATTCACCCGTGCTTTTTTTAAAAACACAAAACCTAAAATTGAGATTCTTTTTCTTTTATCGTAAGAGATTTTATCATTATAAGCCACTGAATGTCATCAGATAAGCCTTTTTGTTGTCTTGGCAAAGAGCTAACTCTAAATTGTGGTAAATGAGGTAAGAAAGTACTTGAAACTATAGCTGGGGATCTTGCGCTTTGGAAAAGAAAAATCTGAGCAGTCTTAGAGCGGGAAGATTACCTTCTGCTAATTCCAGATTTGGACACTGCCATATGAATAAAGCTGATACTCTGCATATGCTAAAAATATCCATGTTCTCTTGAAGATTAATATTAACACTTTGACTGTTGTCTGTGTAAGCTTCCAACATTTGAAACCCTCAAATTAACAATGAACAAGATAAATTTGGCAAGAAATTTAACACAATATAAATTTCCATGCACTGACCACCAAAATAGCTGAGTCTCATTTAACTATGAAAATAGTAGTCCTAATTTATCATTGGTTCTTAGGCAGAACCTTAGTTGAAGTTGCTGAGGCATTCTGCTTAATTGTCCAAGCTATATGGTAAAGGATGACTAAAACTGTTTTGCTCCAATGCTGATGAGTTTAGAAATTCGGGAACAACTGTTGAAATAATAGTGAATACAGATGCTTAATAATGAGCAAGGGTATGATGTCATTTCAATTATTGCAATAAAGAGTGTGCCTTTCAAAAGAATCAAATGTCAAGTGATCAGCATGCCATTTGCTGAATGAAATTATGCTGGTGAGCACCATAGAAAAGCTTTTCTGTAAACATGTTAATCCATTTGAAATTTACTTCCTAATGATGAGTTATTGACATGCTGACACAATGTCTCTGTAAGCAGTCCCAACCCTGCAGCTGATTTTTGTGACAACTAATCATCATTTCCATTTTTATTTCCAATTTGCTCACTTCTGTTTTAATACTGAAAGGCGAGAGCAATATTGTACAATTCTTTATATTTTCATAGTTTTGCAAGTAAATTAAAACCTATAACAATTCCCTGTAAGAAGTAAGCATTTGTTGTCCCCTTTGGATACTTATGAAAGTCATAAGATATGTAGAACGATTTGCTGAAGGCCATACAATGAGTCAGTGTTATATCCAATATTACAGATTAAGATCGTTGCTCTGAGCAACTGCAACGCGTTGCTTAGACCAGGGGATCAATACATGCTGAACTGTGTGCTATTTTTAGTGGAGAGTGCACTCTTCCTTCATTTTCTGCCTCCTTGCTGTGTACACCATATACTGTGCTATTAGACCAATAATACATTCACATATGTCCTTAGAAGCTTTTTGTCTGTTCAAGTGAGGAAGAATTACACTGAAAAGTTTTCTTGCTTTAATCTGCAGAAAATTTACTATATAGTATGTATTGTATACTCATGTCTTTCCTGAAGTCTTTGAAAGATGCTTTTGTCATTATATGATTCATTAACCAAGAACATAATTATCAACAAATTTTATGCTGCAATTTTAAAAAAGAAAAAAGCCGCATCTAGAAAGCACTTACGTGCGATATACTACGAAAATAATGACGTGGTAAATAAATTAGTCACTGAGTAAAGGAATACTTAAGAATGCATCGCAATCATTACAGATGTCTATTAATAGGGCTCTTTTCTTTGGTTATGTTTCCTTGTTGATGAAAATAAGCCGAGTCTTGATTTTCCATTCGCTGAACATTAAGAAGTGGCTTTCCTCTCTGCGTTAATTTCCTTTTTCCTGTCCCTCAATTATATATTGTATAAACATCCAGTAATCTTGTATGAAGAAAATTCTAAAGGTATTTTCCCCCAAATAAGCTATATTTTCCTAATGAAACAAGGGCATTTGGGGACAAAGAAAACAGAATATTAATATGAAATGCAAATACTAATATACTTTCGATTTACCAAGTCTTGGCTTAGAAACCTAAGATTCTGTATTTAAAAAATCAAAGGAAAATAACATTGATATCACACCTCAGCAACCCTAAACATTTGTATCACCAGGATCATGAATCTAGACTAGCAAATAACCAGTCAGAACACTGTCGTAGTGTGTTTTAACTTTCCGAGTACACAAATGTAATACAACTTGGTTGCTAATACAGGTTTTCATGCAATTATTATAATAATTCTATCTCATTTTATAGAATTTTGGCAATTCAGGCAAGTTCCTGAAATCACTAGAAGTAGCAATCAGAATGGATTCAATATGTTCCTTTACACAATGTGTCTGGAAACCATTCCACACAAATAGTTTGCAGATGCATCTTGGCGAGGATATGATTCTGCTTCAGGTGGAGACAGCTGGACATTCTCTGTTCTACATGGACTATTCTAAAAACTTCATTTAGTCTTTGCTGAAGTTAGCATACTGGTACGTATGCTCCACATTTTCTTGATGACATAAGGAAGATTGATGTCCTGATTCTTCAGTTTTCTAGGCAGCAGAATAAAATGTAATGTCTGATACTGCACTAGGAAAACATCCTCCAGGAGATGTGACTAGAAGTCCAGAAGTACATCTGCATTGTACATGACCTGGAACATCCTTCACTTAAAATTGTTAACAACTGAACACATCTGAATCATGTTTTTAACAGCCTGAACAGTGCTCAGTTTTTGGAATGAGCATTGTCTCTGACTTTTCCAAATGTTAAGAACATGCATGTCCTCAGATTTACACTAGATGCTCCTTTTAAGTATCTCTCTTCCTTGTTTTTTATTGTTCTATTAGATGGATGAATCGTTTGGGTCTCGCAGCAATTGGTTACACACCTGATGACAAGGATATTCATCCAGATGAAGGTAATCCTTCAGAGATTATAATTAAAAGGAGAAAGCAGAGAGTACATATCTGTTCATTATTTAAACAAAGGTGAAGATGTCATAACCGACTTTATTAACATACGTGCCATATCTTTTAAAATACCAATTTTTATAACAATCCATATCCTTGAAGAACTGTATTGGTGCCACCACCAAAGAAAATTAAATCCTAAGTAATACTTTTAATAAATATTTAAAACAAGCGATAAAGAGAATGCAAGGTGAGGTATGATCCCCCAGTTCACAGCCATCAGCTGTGCTCATCACCCTAGAGCAAGTGAAGACATCACAAGCACGGGTCAATATGTGCTTTAGAACCATTTCTGCATCTCTTGAGCTCGATTGCCAGCCTTGCCTTTTTCACCATCGCCCATGCTACCATAATTAAGTGTTGAGGCTCAGCTCTACTCTGGCATCCAGAATGAAGTTTCTCTTTGAAAGTCTGTGACCAGAAGCTGGATTTTAGGTTCAGTGGGAGTTAGGTGCCTAACCTGCTTTCTGGAACACTATCCTAAAATGTTTGAAGGTTCTTCTACATATCTGTGTATCTTAGGTGCCAGACATTTTCACAAGTCTATTGCTTAGGGACTGCCAAACCACCTAGGTGACTGTGAAATTTTACTTTTACATCCTAATGCTATTTTAAAATGCGGGACCTGCTTTCTTGTGGCAAGGCACATGAGTGAAACCACGAATGGTTTGTTAGCAGATTACTGGAGCGAAAGCGACCAAGATGACATGGACGGCTCTTTAACCCTGAAGCAGGAAGGCTCTTCAACACTGTGTGACACTTATCATCGAACACCCTCTGTGAGTTATAAATATTGCAATTGACAGTAGGTCACCAAAAAAAATCTGTGTGCCTTGGGTTTGCATTTTCCTTCGTTTGGAATGTTTAATTACCATAAAGGCAGAACAAAGATGGATCTCATTGTAAGAATGAAATTACTGCGGTTCCTCCTGAGTTAAGACCTGAATGTTTCCACAACGACCCAATTCCAAAGGAAGGAGAGGTAAATGTCTCCTTACACAGATATGTCACCAGACTGTAAATACATTTCTTGTAGGATTTAGGAGACTACACCTAATAAGACAAACAGAATATTCAAATGTTGACTTTGATGCAGAATATGAAAAGGATGTGGTGGATGGGATAGTTTGTATTAACTGAGACTGTTTTTCAAGTATGAATATTGGATACTGGATGCGAGAGATTAAGATCAGAGCATATTCATGCAGTAATCATGTTTTAGTACAAACACATTTTAAAGAACATATCTTTAGGGGCAAAGGGTTTTTTACAATGTGAAGCATTGTGTACATTACCATAGTAGTGACAGTATTTTTTGTTAGTGTCAGAAGATGTTAAATAGCTGGTAAAAGTACTTTTAATATATTGTGTACAGCCAGGTTTTGATAACTGAGGGGAAAAACCATTTTGTATGTGGAGAGGCTCTAGTAGCAAATAAGAACATTTCTATTTATACAGAACATAGGCTGTGATAATTATTCTGTTTCTAAGCACAGATAGGACTGTTCTCTATTTTTCTTTCAGATTTTTCTTCAGCGTGAATGACACGATCCTCACACAGCCAGAACCAAAGAAAGAGTGACTGAGACAACAGCATCACATGGGTGAAGTTCAGACTGATTTTCACCCATGTGATGCTGTTTTATCAACTGGGATACAGGTTAAGCCCCTCCCTTTCTGTTTTTTCACTTTTTTGCCTTTCTCTTTGTTTTTGAATTAAAATTATAATATGCATACCCAGCAGAATTAATTAAAATCATTTGAGAAGTTCAGCAGTCCCCCAAAATTCAAAAATATTCCTGGATGCTGAAGTGGTTTTTTTTTTCTGTTTGGCTGGATACTTATCCCCTAAAAAGAGAAAGGAAATCCAATTATGGTTTCTTTTGGGGACTTTCATGTTTTCACAGCACACTGCTGGACCGAGTGTAGTCTGGGCAGGTCTTCAGGAAACCTGTGCCAGTATTGTATTGTTCTTTCCAGCAGGAGTTGCTCAAGGGCAGAGAATGTGCAAAACAAGAATAGGGAGTGGTTAAAACATAGCAATTGCATAGAAGTTCTCACTGATAATTATGTTCTGTTTACAGAGGTTCATAATATGACATATCAAAACACACACATCAGTTCATTTTATTACTATATATCATAGAATGTTCTACACTGTAGTCATTTTCTTGGGACTGTTCAAAACGTCATCTTATAGTCAGATGCTTTTGTATCTTTTCAGGTGAATTCTTCAAGTCCATTCCCTGAAGCCAAACACGGTCGACACTTTTCAAGTGAATCAACATATTCTCATTCTTCAGCCGAGGATTCTCGCCAAGATGTAGCAGGAAGCACACACTCCTCGGGATGCAGACCTCCCTACCGAGAAAGACGATCGTGGCAGGATCTGATAGAGACTCCGTTAACCAGTTCAGGGCTCCATTTTCTTCAGACTGTTCCTCCTGATGCGGAGTACATGAGTGGCCAGCCTGGAATGTCACCGGACAAACGAAGACAAGCAACGCTGCCAGTACAAAGGCGTCATAATTATGAGCAGGAGGGGCCTTTCCCTTTGGTGGAATGTCAAAAGGGACATAGCTCTCACAGCAGGCCACAGAAGCAACGCAGTCAAAGCCTTCCCCGAAACAGAGATGTCAGGGGTAAGGGAAATGTAAAATCCATAGAAGGAACAGATGAGAAGCTAGAAGAAAATATTCCTATTAGAAGGCATAATAGTTTCTGTGCAGAAGGTAAGCTTTTGGAGATGTTCCGGTCCTCTTTACTGCCATGGCAAGCCAGGGCAATATTGTCATTATTCTCAGTAAGGTTTTTTGTGGTTGAATTGTTACACGTCAGAAAATTCATCAGTCACTACCCAGGAGTTGAAATGCTTGAATGTAGTGCTAAGAATATAGCTTTGGGGCTAATCAAAATGTTCTTGTTTTAACAAACCAAAATTGGAAGACTCTGTTACAGGGTTACTTTACACATGAATTTGCAGTATCGCTTGTTGAGTTTAGAAACCTCATCTGAATGGTTAGATTTGTAGTGAAGTTTCTTTATTTTCTTTCAGAAAACATAAAAGAAATTGGAGAAAGTACAGATGGCCTGCAAGAGCTGTACAAATCTCTGGAACAAGCTAGTTTGTCAGCTTTTGGAGAGCAGCGTCCTTCCACGAAGCAGGAGTTCCGCAAGTCATTTGTAAAGCGATGTAATGATCCAGTTGTCAATGAAAAGCTTCACCACATCAGAGTTCTCAAGAGCACTTTAAAAGTAAGGCTTTATCATTAATTTTATGTATAAGCAATATGGACCAGTGAAAGTATAATCTCTTAATGTTTTTCATGGATGGGGCTTTCTTTGTAGCTTTAGAATCAAGTTCTGAAAAAACTAAAAATACTTGGAAGCAAATATTCCAGTTTAAGAAAAAAAAAAAAGCAGCTCTTTGGCAGTCTTTATAGGCATGTTGTAGAAAGTTCCAAGGATTGAGTTGCCAAACAGTTTAAGCTGTAATAATTCTTAAATATAGGTAAAAGATTCCAGTGTCCGTAGTAGTTTCCCTAGCACTTTGCATTAGAATGAAAGAAGAAATAAAGTGCTGAAATAGAGAATGTGGCACAAATTTCATTTTGACATTTATTGTGTCCTTCTGGAATTTGACAGGCGAAGGAGGGGGACCTCACAGTTATCAACAGCCTTCTGGATGATCCCAATTTAACATCAAAGAAGTTTAAAGATTGGAAACTAAAGAACTATGAGTTTTTCCTGGACATTTGTGAGTACAGTGCTGCTGTAAAATCTCAAAATGGAGCCTCTGAACTTGCAACCTCAGCACCGATGCTGACACATACACACTCGTTCATTGAAACTCACGTGTGACAGGACTCATATCCTGAATAATTGCTGGGTGCCATGAAAAATCGATTAAGAGAAACACTGTAATATTTATTGATAATGTGCTCAGCAGTACTGTACATAAATTGGATAAGAGAATAGTGCCACAGGATGCCTACTACATTGCATGATAAGACAATAATATTCTTTATTAATTTTTTTGTTTGCTATTATCAACCAATGTCCGTACCAAGCTCTGCATTAGAAAGAAGCAGTGCAGAAGTGTAACTGAAAAATAAATACCAGTATATTTAAAGTACTGTACTAAAACTAAGCTTATAGTATGAGCTCCTACAATCATTTTATATATTTAGATATCTATAAAGACATATCTATGTATATAAAATGTGACATGGTAGTTGACATTTACTTTTAAAATGCCCTAAAGTTCACATTTTCACACCTTTTTCTTGAGAAAAATATAAAATGAAAACAAAAATACATTGGCCACTCTTAGAGATGAACGTTTATTTTTGCAACATTTCCAGGTAGTGACCATCTCTGCAAATAAAAGGACAGAGTTATCAAAATGTAAACTCAATCCCTATAGTGTGCCTTAAAATGTACACTGTACATCTAGCAAATAGATCCCAATCTGGCCCTATGGGCATACTGTACATGCCATTTAGATACTGTGTTTGTAACATACTGTGCCTGCCTTTAAAATGAATGAACACAAGCGAGCAGGTGTGGCACAGAGGTTAAGCTATGAGTAGAACAATGTTGGCTGTTCACTAATGCTGCAACTTAAACTGATTTTAATATAATTTGAAGTATTTCATGGTGAAAGAAAAACATCTGCGCTGAATATGGTACATACTGCAGGTTTTCATAGTTTCTTCACTGTGAATTTAAGCGACATGTGACTGTGAGTCACAAAATTCAAAAAAGCTCTGATGCTTCAAGGACAAGAATCAAGCTGAAAAAAGATCCTGAACTAATCTATTAAATTCTGTAATAGACTGACATCTAGACATCTAGAGCTGAGAAAGTTATTCAAAATTATGTAATGTCTGGCAATAATTTTTAACCGTTAGTAGTACATTAGCAAGTGAGTGAAGTTATTCAATACATCATTTGAAAACCAATCTGTATCGATTGGTTTGGAAAGACACACGTCACACAGTGTATTTCACTTCCTTGCCTGGATGAGAATGATTTCTAAGAATCAGATTTTGGAGAAAATACTTGTATTCTTGAAAAAGAAAAAAAGAAAAAAGATTGCTCTGAATGCTACTGAACATAAATTTCAAACATCCATTCACAATTTTCTTTGACTATGCTTGCTAGAATATCTCTAGAGAGCAGAACAAAGGGGATGTGAATACAACTGATGCCATTTCACTTAAACGCAGGTATTCACTGCTAAGTTTTTCACAAGATAAACCTAGTTGTCTCTCAGACATCAAGAACTGTAAAATTCATACATTCAATATAATATAGGAAAAAACATTATCTCAATGAGGTCCTAGTATCCAGGAAGAGATTTAATTATTCACAAAGCCAGAGCTGGGTGAAGGTAGCCTGTTTGTTTAGTTCAGTCTCCACAAAGCAGCAGTGGTGGGTTGACCTTGGCTGGTTTTAGAGCCAGCTGGAACTGGCCGTGTCCAACGTGGGAGCAGCCCTTGGTCTTTTCTCAGAGAGATCACCCCTGCAGCCCCGCTGCGACCAAACTCTTGCCATGTAAACCCAATATAGAAGCTGAAGAAACACAATTCGGATTTGTTTTTTACTCTCATTTGCACTGGCCTTTATCTGAACCACAGTAGATGCGGTGATTAAACGTTAATGGTCTATCGCAATATAAGCCGTTATTAGTAGCGTTACAGCTGTTTTGAGTTCTCTGCATCACACAGGCAACTGAGTCACAGCATCACTGCAACAACCACATAACAACAGTTGGATAGAACATACATGAAGGCATGTTTCACCTGCTGCAACAGCCTAATTAACTCCATACTTCAGAATCACTGAAGACAACGTCTCCTTAAATGCATGCTTGGAGCCTGATCATATTTCCATTGAAGCTAACAGCAAAACTCCTGTGACTTCAGAGGATCACACTGTATGTATCTTGATTGAATATTAAACATGCACTTCACCCTCTGCCTAACCACCCAAGATAATAAAAAAGGTACAGGAAATAGAGAACAACAACTTGCCACCACAGGGTTTCACCAATATTGGAGTTGCAGTATTCATGGAAAACATAGAAATAAATTGAAATATATTTACTGGACGATATTTACTGGTAGATACTGGACAACTGAATAGTTGGAAGCATTAATAGAGAGAATTTGCCTAGCTTTTTTTCATATCGGATCTCTAAAAGTTATATATTTAATTATTTTTTAATACCATCCTTCATATAATGTAGGAGAAATATTACATAGTGAAGCAAGCAATGGGGTAAATTACAGAAGCCATTTAGAAACCAATTCATACTGTATGTGCAAGCAGTGGCAGATGGTCACAGAATTAGTTAAATGGATTTAACTTTCTAAATCCATAAAGAAATTTAAACATGTCCTTTGTTTTAAATTGAAAGGATGGTTTGTGTTTTTATAATAAAAATATCTATGTGATTTTAAAATAGCTTTCAAAAAGGATTTCAAATGCCACTGTATTGTAACTCAAAACAGAAATGACAATTTTCCACTGAGCATATTCAATGAAGTGCCCAGTAAACAATGAAACAAGATATCTCTCTTCTAAAATCCTACTTATAGATACAGCTCAAAGTGACAAACATCATAAGGAAAATATATTTCTCAAAAATAACACAAATAGTAAGGAAAATAGATAATCTTGATTTTCATTGCTGAAAATTAAAAAATGTTTCTGAAATATGAGTAGATGAGATAAAAACTTGAGAGATCATACTTTTGCTCAGCTTATCTTTAAAATCTTTCAATGTCATGATTTCATCTTTTCTGAAATTCTCAGTCATGAGTCTGTATTCTGCTCTTGGAGAACAGCTCTCATCAAACATGATTTGCACTGAATAGGCAAGATAAATTATACAAGACATTCATAAGATGAACTGATACACACTGGAGAAATTTCCTATAATGGAGTTAAGATTAACAGGCAGAAGAGTTTGAAAGATTTGTCTAGCCTTGCTTATGCCTCAGAGCAAGCAGAATCTAATTGTTAAATTAAGCAATACGGAGACTTTATTCTTTCACAAACGTCAGCTGGCATTTGTGAAATGTCATTTCACAATAATTTTGTCATACTTTTTGCATGTGTACTCAACTCCTTACTACCACTAGTTTTTCTTTCTGGATCTAGGTACTAATCGAGCTGTACTATATAGAAAGTAACGTACAAAGTCACCATAGCACAATTAATTGGAATTTCATTATATTTGAAATAATTGGAACGCAAAGTGCAATACAGATATTGTATTTAAAAACTGATGCCGCAAATCCTGTTTACATATTAAAATATATCAAATTCTCCTGGACTGAAACGTACTTAAACACACTCTACAATGCAGCTGAAATTATTGTGGTAGTCTTGAGCCCATATTTTTAAATGAGAAAAAAAAAATTCTTTGCTGTTGAGTTCACCAAGGGAAATAAACAGCACCAGTACAATACTTCTATTAATTTACTAGATTTCCTGCCTGAATGCTTAAATAAAACTCGGTTCTTAACATACACAACTACATGAAGAGATTGTTTGGATGCATTTTATTTATCCAGATCTTACTTAGTGTCTTCATTCAGAATTCCTGCAGGCAAAATGCCCCTCAGCCAGCAGACTTTCTCTATGACTCCACAAGCTTAGTCCTTTTGTTACCGCCTATTTCTTATTGTAACTGATTTAATGCTCCCCCTAAGCTACTGATCCCCCTCCTTTTTTAAAACCGTTCTGTATTCAGTGAGATCTCAGATCTTTGAAAGCTATCCTGGTAGCTATCTCAGCAGCACTTCCTGAGAAAGCTGAGACCTTTTTCTTGGTTTCATTAATTTAAGTGAAAACTTTCCTGAGCTTACTCTAATTAATATGAACAAGAAGTAGTGAAAGGAGGAGGAGGAGGTTGTCATCAGTCTGTATGTCCACGTTCTTTAGTACAACTAATGCAGAAATACTGGGCCCACGCGCAGTGACATTTGCCCTCACAGTAATGGGGCTGTGCGGGATTGTACGGGCGTCTCTACCCTCCGTGACACAGGCGGGTGCTTCACTCCACGGGCAAAAACCACCCTGAGGTTTCAGCAGCTTCTGATACAGTTGTAGTGTCTCAAACACATCACGAGCACTTCTTGAACTGCTTTAGCACCCTAAGGAAAGACTGATCAATTGCTAGGAAAAGATTTTGGAGGATGAGATTTTCCATCTTTTCCAGGCAGGGAATTCTAAATATGTCAGTTAATATTCAGATCTAGACTGCTCTAAGCTAGAAACGTGGTACACCACTTGCTTTTTCCCAGGAAAAAGAAGTGTTGCAGAGAATTGCTAGATGTACATGGGCACTTAACTTTATTCTTACTGTCTTCAGCAATTACAGCCTTCCAGGCTAAAACACTCACTCTCTGATCCGAGGTTTTGTGAAGGATGGTGAAGGCACCTTTGAAGGGGTTACTTTAAAGAGGCATTAGGAAGTGCTCCGCCTCATCAAAAATGGCAGAATTCTACTGCTGACCTTTTGAAGATTTCACTTTGAATGTTAATGGGACTTCTGGAAGAAAAATGAAGAATCTGGTAGAAATTCTTCAACACAAATCTGAGGAGAACAAAGTAAACTCTTCTCTCTCTTATCTTTGTCTCAAGTAATACAAAGTAGACCTAAGCCCATCACATACCTTGTTTGCCATATTCTTTCATCATGTAGTCTTAATTGTCTTTGAAATTGATAAGAGCATTCCTTTCTGCAAAAAAACTAGTGGTACCTATGACCAAGGCGATATATCTGGGGGCTGTTTACATCCTGGTAAACCTTGGCTGTTGGCCCCTTGGGGTGGGACAGCTCTGCCAGGCAGAGCTATTTTGTGACATTGCCCCAGAGGTTTGGACAAACTCTTCATGCAGCTGGGGCCAAAGTGCTGCAAATGTGGGGTGTTTAAAACAATCCTTGGCGAAGGCAAGATGCAGCACAACTGATCAACACAAACTTAAGCCCCATCTGCAATGCCTGCCAAAACTGTAATACAAAGGAAGCCGACCATTTTTAGGTACAGTTTAAACACTAAATCTGTTCGCATAAGCAAATCTTGTATCTCTGCAGAGATCCTGACTGCTGTCTCTGGACTCAGTCCTGAGGGATTCATTAAGAGGGCACAGGTCTGTGTATTCCTGGGCCTCAGCCCTGAAAATACCATTTATAGCCCACCCAAGTTCATGTAGCATAATCTGAGAAATAAGTGGTAACTTCATCTCATAAAGGATTTTAAATTTTTCACGCTAGGGAATCTGTGCGTTTCTAGGGAAGACAAGGGCACAGGTTATAGCAATGCCTTTTCGCTTGCGGTGTAGGTTTGTAGATCTTCCACATACCACATGCCTTAGACCACTGAGCTTAAAATCTCATTAGAGACAACACACCACCTTCCCTGTGACCAAATAATGTTCATTTACCTCTAGTACAAAAAATGGGTAATACCAGGAAAGAAGCAATATTAGCTAATTAATTTATATTAAGTAATAAAAAGCTCTTTTTTCTTCTCGAATGCTTCCCTCAAAAAAGCTAAGGTTCTGAGGAACTTTTCCAGGCACACTACCGCAGGGATAGGTTCCCCCTCTGCTCTTACCCCGCCGAGTTCCCGCTGTGTGGCTGAGGCTCTCGGTTAGCCAGGCAGGCATCTGAAAATCAAACCTGAGCCAAATCACTTGATGAATAGAATATACATTGCTATTTAAACAGAAACTAGTTGATTAGAACAATTATTTTCTTTACTCCCATTACACATAACCATAATGATGAACTTCTGATCAGTTCCATCCAGCAATGTGTAGGCAAGCAACTCTCTATTCTTGATACAACTCATAGAGGAAGAAGCATCTTCTTAAAGCTTAGTTTCTGTGTTTTACAGTTTATACCATACTTCTACATTCAGAATGAGGATTACATATAATATCCTTTAATCTTTTATCAGTTTTTGAGATAGCTGATATACTACTGGGACCTACTCTTAAAAAAAGTATTTAAAAAATTCAGACAGATACTGCCTGTCATTATCTTCAGGAAAAGAACCATATTCATTCTTAATGCAGGCCAGACAGTTTATTTTTATCACACACGCAAGTGTTAAAAGTGACAACTAGGGGCTCTGCTGTATGCATTAATGCCACTGTACGAGCAGTATTTGAAAGAAAGCAATGTTGTAAAAATTATAAAATATGTCAACAAACAGTTGTTTGACCAGCTAGGCCCTCTAGCTCCTGTCCTCACATTTTTAGAATATTGTTCATTCTCAGGCATTGCTGAGGGTATCAATACAGATCTTTACTAGCTGTAAATGCATCTGAATGCTGCAGATTAAATAAGGACGCCACATTATACATACTGACTCTGTTGCATTTTTTTCACTAGCAACCATGAAACAAGTATGTCTTAACAAATCATGTTCACTGGCCAAAATACCAGTAAGACCCTGTTACCAGTTAAGACTTCTGTTTTACTGAGAAACAAGGATTTCAGCTTAGAAATCTGAAAAGAGAACAGGTTAGGATATAAGAGAAATGCACTAGTATTAATAAACTTTTTACATTTGACACATACTGTATTACAAAGAAAATATCCTTTTAAGACCATTAATTGCTGGGCCATAGGTGACTTCTGTCTAGTTTACTAAAGTAGCTACTAAAACTTGTATAGAAAGCCTTTTTTAGATAACGCTTACATGTATGAAAATGTATGACACCCTTGTACTATGGCTTGCACTTTACTTGCATTAAACTGTGAAGTAGGCTGTAGTAATGTCTTTGTATATTCAGGGGTTGAAATACCAAAGCACTAGAGTATTGTACTGCTGGTGTTCAACCTGTACTGTTTATTAAATCTGAACATGCTGACAATGTGTATTTTGAAAACCCCGCTAACTTAAAATCTTTAGCAAATAATGCTATGGGGTCTCCATGGTCTTTGTTTCTTTGTAAATATAAACATTCTTACTGTTTCTGTAGCAATAGGAGGTTATAAACCAAACTTTCACTAGGACTGTTTTCAATAACAAAAAAAAAAAATCTATAGCGCCTTGTATAAAAATCATGGAGACTCCATGACCTGTGGGCATTTTTTGTTTACAAGCAGTATGTATATATGTATTAGAGGCAGAACTGTTATTTATCACAAAGTTATGTTGTGGAGGATTCTTTCTAAAATAAATATATGTTTTCTGTCATTATGAAAAATATTTTGGAGCCATCTTGAAGAGTTTGAAGTGTGAAAGCTTCAAATACTAGTAATCTTCCATGTTTCAGCCTTGTTTTTCTAATCAGCTGTGAGATGATCTGAGAGGTAATGGGAAACCACCTGCCTATGCCAGGGAAAATGTCTTATTTTTCAGTTTATGAGCATTCTGCAACTTTTCTATACTCATCATGTTGCTTAAGCGCTTTTATGAGCAGATGCTCTATCAATACCGTAGTAAAGTCCCTCAGCTCATTGACGCTACAAGAGAGAGAAAATTAACTGCTCTAGACTAATACAGGTAAAACTAGGTTTCAACCCCTGGATAATACAGTATTTCTTCAGTTTCACAACAGTATTTTTAATTTTATACTTGTCTATGTTGAGAGATGATCCAATAGTTTATATAGGCAATGAACGCTAGGTTTCTTTTTTCCCTCTTTTCAGATGAGTTCTGTGTGAATTACTGTAACCGGCTGCGTTTTTTCTATCACAGATTAACTTGTTAACTTTTTGTGTGTCTACAATGAAAATTTATGAATGGAAAACTTCACTGTGTGTTGCTCACTGGGCATATACCTCATGGTACATTGCACAGACGTGTAAGTTGTAAGTTGCACTGCAACATTAAAAAAGGAACATATTGCTCTTTTTTCAAAGATATTAACTTATTTAAGAGATATAGTCTGTACATTATTAAAAAGAACATTTATTCTTCCTAAATTCAAACAAAGCTTTTGTTTTGGGGAAAAAAAAAATGTTGTAAACTTCAGTTGTAAATTTGGACTTCAATAAACGAATTATCAGCACTTAAATTTTGCGTTTGTGCACGTGTGTGTTCTCCAATACCTGTAATTAGGACGGATAATCACGGTCCAGCAGCAGTCTGGGTTTGGACTGGGCAGATGCAGAGTTTATAGCCAGGTGATGATCTCTCCCTGGGGCTGCCCGCACCTCCCAGGCCATTCCAGCAGCTCCCGACGTGGCTCCTTAACACCAACAGCCCCCCGAAAATTGTTCTGGGGGTTCCCTTGGTCAAAGCATACGCAGCTTGCATGGGGTTTTCTCTCCAATTCATGTTTTCAAGTGAGGACATTTGGGATTTGCGCTTTTCTGACTGAAACGTGAGTAGTCATCTTCTGTTGGGGGGGGAGAACATTCTCTAGGAGCTAAAAGGAAAAAAAAAAAAAAAAAAAAAAGATTCTA